CCTATAAACTGTCATACATTTTTAAAACAATTTAATATTTTTTTTATTTTGGATAACAATATTTTAACCGTTATTTAGAGTGACCATTATATTACAGTATATAATCTACACTGTTCGAAAACAGAATTTATCAATTCTGCAAACTTTTTTCCCCTAAAACCAGTCATCTATGTCTTTATGTGGGAGATTTAGTTAGTTGGGTGGAAACTGGTCACTACCTGGTATATTCTATTTTGGAATAGAGTATAAAGGTTTTAATGTATTATGTCAATAACACTTTTGACAGGATTAATAAAATTTGGGTTCGGGTGGCAGTATTTCAAATTGTGACATACAGTTTCCACCCATTTTGACGTTTTTTTCTGGTAAAAAGAAAGGACTCATAAATTGTACTGTTATACAGAGGTGATTTTTAATGGAAGTTTTACTGGAAATATTGAATACTAAAGACAATATAAAGTGAAATATTTTATGTTTGTTTCTTATTAGTCAAATAAGAAAATAAATGCATTATTAATGAAATTAAGCCTGGGTTCAAAAGGATTGAATTTAACTGAAGCAACAAGAATATTTTTTATGGAGCCAATAATTAACAAAGCAGATGAGCATCAAGCCATTGGAAGAATTCATAGAATAGGACAAACCAAGTAAAACTATTACTAATGATTTGCTATTAAAATGATAATTTTAATAATATTGATAAACTCATGTGTATTAGTGTATTAATATTATATACATGATATGTTATGGYCTATAAATGYACAATTAACAATGCAAAACATTTATTTGTTTTTAGACCTACATTTGTACATAACTTTATTATTCGGGATTCTATTGAGGAAAACATCACAAATTTATTCTCCGGTAATATGTTCGATCAATGGGATGATGTAACGCTGTCTCAACTAATAAGAGTATTTGAAAGAAATGAATCAAATTCAATATCAGAGTCAAATAATGCCATAGGAGAATAGTAATCTAGATATTTTATCTATGTATTTTGCATTTTATTTTATTTTAAATTAAATGACATATTTCTTTATGTACCTATATTTGTAGTTTTAAGTTAGCTTGACTTTTTATTTATACATTTTAAAAATTAAATCTTATTTTRTTATTTAACAGAAAATTTGTTTTTTTCTGATAATAGAAAGTACTTTTTTAATGTATTGATTCTTAATTATAATTATTTATATTTTAAAACAGAGTGATAATAATTTTTAAGATTTTTATATACTTTTCTTAATTGAATTTGATTGTTTATATTTAGTTATATTTTGTTCTTTTACTATCAATAAATATAATTTTACATCCTATTTTAAATATTTATTGATTATATTGATCACTATGTTTCTTTTATTTTAATCTGTATGATGATAAATGGTCATTCATGCCATAAGAGTTATTATTAGGAAGCCCGTGGAACTGCATGTTAGATTCTGAGTGGAATGGAAGAATGTATTGTTTTTACGATAATGTGTTGTTTTTTTTATCACATTTTAGGGCTGTAAAAATGCTCCAATTTTTTATTAGATTCCGAACGAAGTGATGAATGTATTGATTTTACAATGATGTGTGTTTTTTTTTGTCTGTGTACAGCATAACTAGTCGAAATAATGCTTCGATTTCAAACTTTGGGGGTGGTTTCCGATGTAAAA